GTGGGGGGGCCTCCTACTACTACTACTCCTCCTACTCCTACTACTAATAATAATTTACGAGCAGTAAAAGTAGCCGTAGCTGCAGCAGCAGCAGCAGCAGCAGCAGCAGCAGCAGCAGCAGCAAGCGCAGCAGTAGTCATGGTAGTGGCCGCGGCAGTTGTAGGGCTTTCAAGACGCGACACAACATGCAGCTTGCTAGGTTCAACTCACAAATCCGCATCGTAAGTATCCTGCAAACTAACAACTCTCATGATCTGTTTGGGGCAGTCAGCGCACTCAGGTTGGCACTGGCCGCCCCGTGCTTCATGGCAGAAATCGCCAACGAGAGTCTGAAGCAAGTGCATGCCATGACATGTGGTCCACAGGCCTGCAAGCTATTAAGTTTGCCCTGGCAGTGTCGCTTGCTTGCAGCACCGCAAGCCTGATGCACACGTGGGTAGGCCTCGGCCAACACAGCTTGAGCATTTGCGACATGCGCGTTTCGGCACGAGTTCCTTTGCAGCATTTCAGCCTCTCTGAGCCTGCATTTTTAATTTTGGGAATTAATTCTCGGATTCGTTGCCCCTACCAAATTGTTTGGTTCCATTTTCTGGGTTGTTGTCCAGCCGCTTGGAGTCGTTCGTCCTTTAAGGGGCAGCATAAAGTTGTACATCTCCGTTAACGAGGCAGAAAAAAGTGAGCTTCCCTTGTGTCATTCTCCTGTTCCAGCCAAGGCATCTCTTCGAGGCAATCGCGAGGCGTTTTGGCATTAAGCTTGCCATTCTCATATGAGCTACGGACTACGGTCAGGATTTGGGGGGGACCTACAGGGGGACCTACAGGGGATATTGCATATGTATGAAGAAGGATTCTAGTGGGACCTGTTAGAGAGTATGCTACAAATTTCGCGCAGGGCTAAGATGCATATCGCGCATTTCTGATTTGAATATTGCTCTTGTTGACTCTTGTAGAGCATGCTACCAGGCTCTTTGTTTTTTCCTGCAGGCTCGGGCTTGAGACGCTGCATGAGTTTGACCAGCAGGCCAGGCTGCAAACTGTCGCTGGAGCGGCTTTGCAGCCAGATTTGATGTTGTGGATGAAGGAGCTCACCAATACAGCGCGGACATTTGCAGAAATCCGCTCCCGCAGTTCCCCATTTATTGAAGCGAGGCGGGCGTATGCGAGGCATATACAAGAGAGGTTATACATATGTATATGCATCTCTCTCTCTCTCTCTCTCTGTCTCTCTTCTGTGTCTCTCTTTCTCTCTCTTGTTTTCATGTGCTGGCTTCGGCTTACAGCTTGCTCCATGGCTTTGGCATTTGGCCTATGTACCAGCTCCGCCATCCTGCTCAAGAGCAGCGATTTGCAGATGAGTGAGGAGGAGGCCAGGAGAGCTCGGCATGGGCTTTGCCCTGAAAGCCTTGGAGTCTGCACAGGCATCCCGCGGTGGATATGCTATGGCTTGGGCACAGGTGCGGGTGTCTTGTTGCCCTGAAGCAGTTGGCAGATGCGCTGCCTGGCATGATGCAGAAGCAGAGTGCAGGATCGCCATGGGCGTGCAGACCTGGCACGATCGCTGGTGTTGAAGTTCATGGCACCGTGGCTTTTCATTGGACAAATATCTTCCAGGAAATCCATTTTCCCATTACCTGTGTCATGTTGCGGAGGCAGGTGAGAGAAGCCACAGCTTGGCTTGGGGGCTGGTCATCCAGAATGAGGAGGGCTTCTTCGATTCGTTCTTTCGTTCTTGGTGATTCCCCGTAAGTGGAGCACTGCAGGAGTGGAAGCACCAAGCTCCGCCACATGGCGCGGTGGATGCTCTGGAGGCTGCAGATGCTTTGAAGAGTCACGTGATCAGGTTCGTCTGAGACTGCGCATACTGCACCCCAAAATAGACGAGCTCCTGCATAGGCGATGGCGCGCAATGCTAGCCTCGGTGGTCGTTGAACAGGTCCCAGGCCTTGAGTGTTTCACTTGCGAGGTGCGGAAAGATTTCAGTGTCAAGGATGGTTTCATCACTTATCCTCGTCTAACTTCGGCAGCTGGAGTCATTAGGGTCGTTAAGTGCTGTTGGTAGCTATGCACAGCTTCCAAACTGTGCGTGCTATTCGAAATGCGCAGTTTCACATCCACCTCGACCGACTACACAAAGGTATTGGCATTACAGATGCGCCGCTCGCAGGTTTCTGTGTATGCGTGTGGGCAATGTCTAGACGAAGCCCTCGCTTTCCAGTCAGAGCCAGCCTCAGATCTCGGCCCTGCAGCCACTTCGGCTCCCGAAGATGGCGACGTGAAAACGAAACTGGCTGCGTGCTGGACTCAGCTGGAGGAGTGTCTGTGATGTGTTTGCTGCGCGTTCAGCTGGTGAATCAAAGTTTGCGTGGGCGCAGGTCCTTGCGATGTCCCACCGGGCCGGTACCGGAGATGCTCCAATCCCTGGCCTCGTCACTTCAAGCCTGGCACTGAGACTTAACTCTTCTGGGCCAAGCTGTGTGATGCTGTTCGTATCAGGAAGAAATCCGGCCTACAAGCAGAGACTGCAGAAGCAGAAGGTTGTGGCATGCTTGCCTTTGATATCCACAAGATGCCGAACGCTTTCTGAACAGGAGGCGGAAGCTGCAGCAGAAGCAGCTCGTAGGGCGGAAATTGCCAAGCTTAAAGCTGCAAAGCAGCCCGGGTCCCACCCAGATCAGTATCATTCTTGGGACAGAGCCTCACCTCTGTCAGGCTCCAGAGGAGCCGGCAGCAGAGAAGGCCAGTACAGCTGAGCTGCTGGGCAGCCGTGGTTTTGGAGGAAAGTTGCCCTGACCCAAGGTCGCCAAGCGTCCGTTCGGAGGAGCGTGAAAGCTCTGAAGAGCGACGCCGCCCGGAGCCCAGAGTGTGACGAAAGACGACAGGTCCGAAAATGTTGGAGAAGAGTGCAGTTCTTGTGCAGTTCGGGAGAAGAAGGAGGCTGACGCCAAAGCTCAGAAAGCTCTGAGGGACGCAGAGGCCAAGGGCCAAGTTCATTATTATTATCATTATCATCATGATTATCATCACAGCAACCTTGTAGTGGCTGCATGCAGCCAGGAAAAGAAGAGGAGAGAGGAGGAAGAGGCGGAAGCCCGCACTGCACTCAGCACTTGCCTTGAGAGGCTTTTATCTCCAGCACTTGAATCCAATGTCAGGAAAACGATGGGCTGAGCAGGAAGCAAAGTGGGCCGGAGCCTGCAGCATCAGAGTTGAAGGTGCTTAGGAACCTCAACAGAACCCAGGCAGAAGAGCGCCGTCTGCGTGAGGAGCAGAAGCGGCAAGAGGAGGAGCGTAAGGCTTGTGACCCCTTCCTGTGAATGTGAGCCCTCTTGCAAGATGCGGTTGCAAGGTCGCCCGCCAACAGAAGCTGAAAGGAGCAAGGAGCTCACGACAGCGTAAAATCCCAGAGTAAGAACAACTCGGGGAACACACTGCCTGAGGCTTTTGCAATGGCAGACGACGAGGATGATGACGAGGACTGAGCCGCCCAACAAACATTCGCAAATGGGATGTGATCCTTCAGACCGGTAGGATCATCGCAAGAGAGAGCTGGCTGAAAAGCAAAAGTCAAGGTAACGGCAGCTCAACACATCATTGCACAAATCAAGCACGCAGACAAGCCCGCGACAGGTCAGTTCCAAAGTTAGCGCAATCCTCAGCAGAATTTTGAACATGCTGTTTCTTAGCACGTCGAGTCACAGGCTTTCTGCCACATGTTTACTGATCAGCGTCTCTCCATCCAAGGCATCGTCAGCGGCTTCTGCTTCGCCTAGTCCGATACTTAAAAGAAGGAATTCAAGATTCTGCTGTCATGAGCGTTGGAATGCCTGTGTTGATGGAAAGGGTGGATGGAGTTAGTGCTTTTTACAGAGGTTTACGCCATCGCAAGGCAATTCTTATGATTCTCAGGTGCTGCGGCCATTGTGCCAGCTGGTAGCTCTCGCAAGGTGTCCATCCAAGAACCAGAGACAGGGGGCTTTGGTTGTTTGTGCTGTTCGCTGCCCTCTCTTGCTCTTCTTCTTCGCATCTTCAAGTCGTCGTTTCCAGCATCCCGCGCACCCATATTGTTGCGACGCTGCAGGGGGGCGATTCGAAGGCCCATTGCACAGCTCCAAAGCTTACACGTATGATGGGAACATGTGCACGGGCTTGCAAGAGAAGCTTCTGCCTGTAGAATCTAGTTTCAGAGCCTCGCAGGATCCCATAAGTCTCCGAGCTGCTTTAGCGGACCCATCGGCGAAGCCTGTCTGGTTGAAACCCGCCGTCTCAGCAATTCTGGCTTCATGTTATTATGCCAGGGACCCAGGGTACACTCGCCCGGTGAGGTGGTGGGGGACTAAGGCAAAAACAAAGTTGTTGAAGTAGACACCAAAATGCACTCAACAATGGAGTGTGCGTGTGATTGTCAGCCTCAGGCAGAGCATTTCCGGCGCCTCTCCGAGATGAAAAGGAGGCTGCGCTGAGAAATGCTCCGAGAGCACTTGTGTGAAGCCCTATTCACTTCAGGTACCGAAGAGCTGAATTCGGGGGCCCTTCGCGGCGGAGAACGCCGTCCAGGCCACAAAGTTTGGCTAAGCACCGCCGCCTGCAAAGCCTGCTGGATAGGTCACGGTCGCGCGACAAGTACGACTCGGCTGCATTCTTGGCTGCGGGCTGCTGTGTCTGCTATGCCTGCAGTGGTTTTCATGAGTGCGTTCCAACGTGCCCACATACTTTAAGAGGATGTGGGCACGCATCTTCACATGATATCGCATGATTTCATGTTTTTTTGTGCAGCCTCTACAGCTGAGGTTAAAAGTGTTCTGATGGGAACCCCCAACAGGGAACCCCGAGAATATAGTAGGCATGTAATAGAAAACCAGTACCCTGGTAGGTATATTCCTATTATATTCCTACTACATTGTTGGGGTTCCCTGTTTGGGGTTCCCAGTAAAGTCCCCTTAGAAGTGGGAGAACCGCTTCATTTACGTGTTACGCAAGCCGTGTCTTATAGATATTGCAGAGACAAGAAATGAAGCCGTGTCCTTATTTGAAAATTGGGTGCCAGAGACCCAGTTGTCTTCCTGGTTCTTAGTAGGGAGTAAAGGAATTAAATCCCTACATCATATATTCCCTTAACCCTCAATGCTTAGCCCCAGCAAGTTGTCCGAGGTCTGGATCCGGCCAGGCGCGCCTGGAAGCGAGGTGAAGGCGAGCAGGCGCGAGCGCGAGCGCGAGCGTCTGGATGCCAAGCTGACCGTCCAGGTGGGAGTCAGTAATCTTCGAACAGGGGGTCTCTGTAAGCGGTTCCTTCTCTTCAGCTACGGAATGTAGGAGAGTATTTTGCAGCGTGCGAAGCATTCATCTTGAGTATTTTTTTTTGGAAAGCAAACAGCGCTTCAAAAGAAGCTGAGGTTAGTTCCTGCGGCCTCACAGACTTGGTGAGACCTTCGCGGACGAATCCTTGAAAACCAGAGCGTCCATGGGTCAAAAAGCCTTAGGACCTGCTGTTGCAGAGTAGCACCTGGATGGCAGCAGAAGTCCGGAGTAACGTGGCAATAGCACGCTACAAAGGGGAATCGAGGTAGGAGTACTTTTCATGCAGTGGGTATGGCAGTGAATTGACGTTTTGCAGCTATAGGGAAGGGTGTGGGTGTCGTGGTTGCCGTCGAGCATGCAAAGATGCGAGTGTGACAGAGTCAGAAATGTCAGATGGCAAACCCTGAAGTTGCAAGACACTGCAATGTCACCTCACCTTCTGCAGGAGATGCCAGTTCAGGGAACCATTAATCACGTTGTGCTGTATTGCCGAACAGCAGTGGAAAAGGCTTTTGTTAGTAATCTGTTCTGGCCCATGCTAGTTTTTGGGTCATTCCCTCCAACGCCTACGTCGGCCGCATGGAGGCTGGCGAGAGTACGGACAAGTGCAAGGAAGCCTGACATTTTCAAGCTCTTATGCGTTCTCACCAGAAGATGTTGGGTAGTCATGCGTAGGTCAGAAGAGGGCTATCAGGACTCTTGGGATCGTTTAAGATCATTCGAATGCCAGTTCTCAGGTGGCCAAAATGACTCGACCGGGTGGGGAGGTGTAATCAAAGATACTTTAGCCCTGCTGGCCTGGACAGTTCCAGTATGGTTTGTCAGCAGATGTCGATCTGGTGTTGAATGTTTGCGCAGAGGCGGATGGAGGAAATCTTGCTCCATCAAGGATCCCCAAGTTCGTGTAATTCCTAGGTTCCTAGGGTTCGTGGTATGCATGTAGGGTTGTGCAAGATTGCCCCATCCACAGTATTGCTGTGATAATGCTGCTGGACGCGCTGTCTGGCCGGCCCACCCAGAATTGCCAGGCACATGCCAAGGGAAATGGGGCCGTGGGCTCAGCTGTCCATAAGATATCGGATTATGTCCATGAAGGCAGATAAGCACTCTTAGCTTACTTGCTTCCTAGTTGAACTGCCAGATGACCGCATGCCGGCATATATAATCTATGGAATTGCAGTTTGTCTTGTTTCAGATTACGGCGTATGCATTTGCTGGCTAACTCGGCGACGAGTTTTTCTTTCTTGTGCTGAGCTTTAAACCACTACGGCATAATCAAAACGGATGAGGAATGGAAAATGAGATGGCACCTGGGATAATATCAGCTACAGCCTAAGCTCCTAGTATCCCCCCTTCAGAACCAGTTAAGACCATAGCTCAGATAGGGACACATAGGTAGGGTAAGGACAAAGCCACTTGCCTCCATGTCTTCAGGCGCCGGCCGTGAAGGCTGTGGAAGTAATCGATGGTGTTGCCTGGCTTGAAAAAGTTGAGGCATACTTTGTGGATTCCTCTCTGCTGTGATACCCTAGGGCCTTGAGCCTCCTGGATCTGCAGAGATATAACACAAGTTCTAGATTCTAGGGCTGGTTGATGAGCTGAAGTCGACTTTTGCAAGGAGCGATCTAGCTCAAGTTCATCTTCAAGTAGTTGGGAAAGGACCCCGTGTTGAGCAATGGTCATGCTTGTTTTTTCAGGAGTACCTCGCGTCTCCAGTTAGCACTTTTCGGCTGATTGGCCGCAGCCATGGAAGGCTCAACAAAGGTGTCGTGACTGCGCCGGCGGAGCGCAGCAGACTCTTTCACACAGGCTTCTACCCTCGCCAAGAATGAATGCAGCAGATGGGACGTGGCATCTTCGACGAGTCATCATTCGCTACAGCGAGACTGGTGGAAGCAGTTTGGGAACTCGTTTCTACTTGCGCCATCTGTTGCCCATCTGGAAGGAGAGAAACCCACAAGTGGTAGTCGTGACCGAGCATTCGCGACTGGACCATCCCGAACTTCTGGCTGAGTGGTCGAGTGGCGAGAAGTTCGAAATCTCCTTACGGAAGATGAGGCCAAGGCAGATCGAGGACCTGCTCAATCTGCAAAGAAACTCGGAGTCACCAAACCTCTATCTGAGACATGGTGGCCCAAGAGTGTGGACGGAGCGTCGAAGTGTGCAAGGCTTGTGGCAGCCCTCTCCTGAAGCCATGTTTAAAGCCTTGAAATTTGCTCGAGAAGCCTCCTGGCTTGGACAGAAGCATCAAGATCTCAAATATTCATCTCAGACATTAAAGCTCTGCCAGCAGCATCTGTTAGAGAAGAGAGGACGTTGGGGAGACCAGTCCCAGCACCCCAAAGGGTTCGACCGCCACGTTCTGGAAGATGTGCTGAACCAGCCCTTCACATTTGATCAGCATGCTGGAGTTGAGTAGCTTCATGTTTCACAGAAGCGGTGAAAGCGCAGAGCTTCCACTGCTAGCTTCTATTGCATTCGGCAGAGGCCTACTGCTGCAAGCGCCAAATTTGGTCACACTTGTGTCACTTTGTCAGACTGCTTGGAAGGTTAATGCATGCCTCTTGATAGCTGTCGTGGCAGGACGCCGCGTCAACGCCTGGCTGCTCGAGGGTTGTTGGCGCGGCAAGCCGATTTAAAGCCCCAAGGCACTGTGCTACACGATGCAATAGTTGCAGTTCTCATGCCAGTATTTGCCAAAGCAAATAGGATACACAGAATCGAGCACGGAAATGGAAGATGGCAAGGCGGGAGTTTGTCTCTCATGGCCTGCTGTTCGGTTCTAGCGCGCAGATGACTGCTTGCAAGTGGCAGGCTCCTTCTTCCAACACTGTGCCAACATCAACGGCCGCAACAGCCTTAAATCAAGGAAGAGGCGCCTGCTAAAGCATGCATTCGGCGAAGACTCATGGGAAGCATTCCCTTGAAAGAGCTCCTGTAGAGCTCCTGAATAACCCCTATATAATGGCTTATATACCCCCTATATAGCCTGTATATGCGAAAGAGCGAGAGAGAGAGAGAGAGAGCACCGAGCAGCCCGACAAGGGCTGGGCATTGAAGCCCGGAGAAGCCTCAAGGTTGCTCCATAGCCCGAACGAAAGAAAGACCAAAATTCAATCAGGAATCCTTGCTCAGATTTTGTCTCGCAAACGCCTCCTGCAGAAGCGATGATTAGGGGTTTGAGGGTTCTATTTTTAAGAACAACATAGGGACCTTTTTTTACTTTGTCATCTTGCACTCGTTTCTATCATCTTTCATCATTTTTCCTGTTCATCTTTGTTGTTTGCAAGTGGGGGGAGCGGAGGGCTGGGCCATCCTCCAACCCCCGGCTGTTTTAAAGGCCATCCATGCTTGCCGTAACAAAGAAGCGTCATGTCATCATCATGTTTGCAGCAAGGGATGGTGATGCAGATCATTTTATTTGCAAATGGGGGGGGGGGGGGCTGCGCTCCCCCGCTTTGTTTCAAGGCCGTCCATGCTTTGCCACTGTTCATAATTTTGGACAACTCCAGCATATTTTCGATAATTTTCATCCATCTTCCATGGGAAGTTTTCATCATTTTCATCATTTTTCATATTTTCATGATTTTTCATAAGTTGTCTTCTTTTTTCATCTTCATCGTTTTGCATTGAGTTTCATCATGCTACAGCATTTTCATAATTTGTCATGAATTCTCATCATGTTTTCATCATCTGTCATCATATTTCATCATATTCATCGTTTCCACGATGTTCCATCATATTTCGTCATTTCTCATCTTTTTCATCACGTTCCATCATATTCCATGAGTTTTCATCATGTTTCATCCTGCTTCATCATGTTTCACAATATTTCATCATGTTCCATCATATTTCATCATGTTTCAGCATTTTCACCATTGACAGCAATGTTCATGATTTTTCATCCCTTGCATCCTTTACATTTTTCTTGATGTGGCTGGAAGTGCTGCAATTCCTAAGGTTTTGCTATGACTTTAGCTTGAATGCCATTATTTTTTCTAGGTGCAGGCGTTTATTTTTTGCGATGTGACTTTATCTTTGATGAAACACCCCTTGTTTTGCGTGCTTGGATATGAAAGTTTGAGGCATGGAAGTGGGAAGTAGAAACACGCAGCAGAGAAAAGCTACAGCATCATTGAGAATCGTATGAAAGTCATTAACATTCCCGAACAACCAGTGATTCCTTAATGGAACATCATCACAATAAATTCTCCAACTCTGGCAGCACACCCTACAAGATAAGCAATGCTTCTTTTTCTTTGAAAATCTGAGACGGTAGTGGTTTGATGATTTTTTGACGCTGAGTGGTAGAAAACCAGAGGGAATCTCTGTTTCTCCTGTTTCTTCATTTTTGATTGTTTAGCTTCTTCTTGATGTCTGATTGAAAACAGCAAAGAAATGTCAAGGTCCCCTCATTTGCTTCTTTTGGATGATAGCTTCAGGTGTTTTTGGTTCATGTCCAATAGAATACCGTTAAACCCTAAATCCTTTGTGCTGTCATTTTCGTTTTTTGTTCCCTCACCCCCTACGCCGCTCTTGCCCTTCATTCTACATGTGCCTGCTGTACAGCAGGTAATGCTGGGGGAGTATAGGGATGACATTGGGGTCATATAGGGTATACTGTAGTATATTGGGGTAATATAGATATCCTATAGTATATTGGGGTAATATAGGGTATACTATAGTATATTGGCGTGATGTTGGGGTAATATAGGGTATATTACAATATGTTGAGATAATATGTGGGTCATTCAGGGTATATTATAGTGGCTGAGGATGATGCCGAACGCTCGTCCGTAGAGCGAATGTCTCCCGACGATGAGTATGTGTCGGGCCCGTTCCAGGACTGGGTTGCCATGCATTTTAGGGTTTAGGGTTTAGGGTCACAATTGCTGAGCTTTGCCGACCGGTCTTTTGCAGGCAACGCCCCCAGAGCAGATGCTCTCTCTGGCTTTAGGACAGAATCTCTGCTGCATTGGGTCCCTCAACCCTAAACCCAATATAGTAGTTTTCATTTTCTGTTCCATTATGCCTATATAGCCCCTATATAGCCCCTATATACCAGATTTTCTTTGGTGCCTGTTTAAAGTTAAGAGGCATACCAAGCCAGATTGAACCAATCCGATGAGCCTTGCGGTGAGCCAGGCAAAGCAAACTAGGGCCAAGATGGGCCAATAATAAAAATAGAAATAAAAATAGGAATGATAACAGTGGTAAAATTCGTGGTAATAATAGTTATAATAATAGGAATAATTAGGTAGCTTGTTGAGGCAAAGTAAGGTTTGCAGAATGCTGAGAGCTAAGGCCGGACCATTGGTCATTGAGGCGGGACAGGAGCTTAGTTATCTGGCAGATGGTCGCATTGTGGACGCATGGCCAGGGAGAGACCAACTTCTGCAGTTCGAAGCCATGAGCGGGGGACATGTGGGCACCCCAGAACCATGGGCAGCATCCCAAGCAAGCCAAGCAGTCAAGAGAACATGTCCGCACATCGTCCTTCACGTGCCAAGACGCTTGTTCTGCTCCTGGAGACATCTGAGGTTTGCCGTGCGTGTTCTTTGTTATGCACAACCGCTGTCTGTTTGGAGACAGCTGTGGCTGCTGTCATGACGTCAGCCTCAGTCTCAGATTCTTGTCTCCCGTGCTGGCGCGACTTACTAGTTGTTCCCTCCACAAGCCTGTTCACGCGCACAGCGCAGCATCCAGGCCAGGCTAGAAATACCGGCCCGCATAGGTCCAATTACATTCTTTGGCAGCGGGGCTGCGCGCACAGCATGCAGGATTTGGTGCAAGGTGCTTGGGAGGGTGGGGGGGGCGGGTTGGGGTGGTGGGGAGGTCATTGTGCCGGTTTCAGAAGCGCATTATATAGCGCGGTTTTGAGTACCACGGCTGCACGTTGAATTCTCGTCTTGAATGTGGGCATCTGGTGCTTCCAGTCAGCCACTCCGCTTAATTTAGCAATGCGATGGTCAAGCTTCAGATTTCGACGAACATTTTCCTAATTCTCGTCATGGATTTGCCTCGGCTGCAAGTTGCAAAGCATTGTAAAATGCAGCATTTCTTGCACTGCAACTCTTCCGGGCGCGCGTGAAAAGCCCGGCGGCACGTTGCTAGAATGCAAGGGAAGAATTGGATCCGCCTGCAATTTCTCCTGTCGGATTTTGCTGCTACAGCTAATCTTCCGGAATTATGTCGAGCTCGCTACGAATCCCTTAAGGCAATCCAACGAGTCCTTGTGTTTGATGTAGCGCGCGACAATTCCCTCATACGTGCATGGCAGCCTGTGACCAGTATCTGCGCTGCTGCCTTCTGGCATCCAGCCAACTTCAGAGATTTTCTGCAATAATGATCAGACAATCCCAATAGTAGGGTAGTCTCCATTCTCCTTTCTATTTCTCCGTTCCCTACTACCTAACAACCAGCAGGTAAAGCGTGAACACGAAACCCTATGTGTCTCTGTGGCAAGAACATTTCTGTATAGTATGACAATGAGCTTTCCTAGCAGATCCTCTCACAAAAAACCATTACTGGATATGCTTCAGATTGAAATGAAATCGCAGGTCATGAGCTGCTTGTTTTGTATTTTCAAACACCCTAACTTCATTGACTTTGAGTAAACCCCCTAAAGATCGAGCTGCAAGTTTTCAAATCCAATGTTCTTGCAATTAACCATAGAAATCCCTTACTGAACTTCCTAAACAGGAACTCTGAAATCCTGGGCCCGTGTTCGCCTCTTGAGCTCCCTCCTCATGCTGGGAAGGTTTTGTGTTTTTAGCTACAGGACACATTTTTTGCATTTCAAACATGTTATTTACTTTAGATAACGGGGGCAATGTGTAAGACCCTGTGTAGAATCAAGCAAATATTCTTCAGAAGCGATATCTCTTTATCTTCAAAGAGGATACAAGAGCAGCCCCATCGATGGTGTACGCGGGCCGGCAAAATCGATAAGTTCGACAGAAATGTGCTGTAGAACACGGGTTCCGTTCTGGAGCCAAAGGCGATTTTGAGAATAATATGAAAACAAGACGAGGTCTAGGTCTGTGCAAAGCGTAACTGGCCGTACTTTCCAGGTTTAAGTTTGCCCTGACCCATCCCCATAAACACATATAATAGACAAATGCAAATGTATAAAAACGCAGGGGTCGAGGTACGACGCTGAACAGGAAATCCATGCATCATTAATCCAAACGGGTTGTATAGGCAAAGCTATTTGGTAGTATAAGGTATTTTAACGGATTTCCATGGGGGGAAACCATCGGTTCTCTCCACTGCATTTCGTGCGTTTCCCCTGTATAATTTGTAAAGTCAGATAGAAGCCTTTAGAATACATGCTAGTAATCATTAACTTAAGAAATTCAGATATGTGTTTCCTTTTGAAGTGACCAAGGCCACAGAAACCCAGCGACGGTGCAGCGGTTTCGGCACCTTGGCAAGTGGTTTTGATAGTTCTTCCAAACAAGTCTCTTGAAGCAAGGTTCGCTTCTTCTGATGCAGTCGCCCGCTCAGTCTCAGATCCGCAACAGAGACTGCTGCTGGAAATGGCCTAACCATGAAGCCAATCGAAGTACTAATCGTGATAGTAGCAAAAGTATTAACAATGGTACTAATAGGGATAGTATCAATCTAAGTTCTCATGGCTTGGGGCTCGCAAAGGAAGAAGAAACACCTTTTTCATCACTTTGGCATGTTGTCCAAAGCTGGCTAACACCCCCGAAAGGGAACCGGAAAATTGTGCAGGATGAGTTAAGCATTGAGGGGAACCTAGCTATGCAACAAAGCTGGGTGAGCCTTGAGAAAATTCAAAAAAGCAGAACGCAAAAATTGAATCCTACGGCAGGCTTGCAAGTTTAGAAGAGACAAACTTCGGAAACCACAGTACAGCACGCATCTTTTGCTAGCTTTGCTCTGCAGAGGTGCGACAAGCACTTCGTCCAGAGCCTCAGAGCAAGCGCCAATTCAAGGCCCTGGGGTCGTATTTGTGATTGAGCAATTGCGAGTACATGCGCTGTTTTGAGACACAGCGGCAGGTTCAAGGCCAGCAAAATAGCCTACCTTGACCTGGCAGGGAGCCGCCAGCTCGGAAGGAGTGGCGGTGCAGTCATCTTCGATCCAAAGCACAGGGGTGGGAGACTGAGATGTCACTTTTTCATGAGCAGCTTTCAGAGATGGCTAGTCTGAACAAGCAGGTTGCAGGGGCTGCATCAACTGCTAGCCGTGCTGTCAGCACCTTGTGCTCATCCTGCCTTCGATTCCGGTCCGCCGGTCCGCTCTGGATATGCTTGTCGCCACCTGAGGCGCTGTGGAGATCCCTGGACCTCAATTCATGGCTGGATGACGTTGACCAAGGCCATTTGTTAAGTTAGGGCTGGCTACAAGGTCGCTTCAGCTTTTTGCACCACATTGAGTGCCTTGAAAGTCTGGTCAGGCAGGGGGCTCCTGAACCAGTGCTCCAAGGGTTGTTTCTGCCTTTGTTTTCGCTTAAAGTCCGCTGTTGTTTTCATGGGCCGCAAGGTTCATTGCTGTGCTGATTTAGCCAGGGAGGCTATATCATTTTCTTCTGTTTTTTTAAATCCTTTGGGGCCCCTCAGAAGGGAGGAAGGAAGGCAGCCAAACGGAGGGAAGGAAGGAGGGAGGGAAGGAAGTAAGCAAGGGGGACAAGTCGTGCCTGGTCCTGGTCCTGGTCCTCCAGTCCTCCTGGCCCCTTGGTCCGCTGGCAAACTTTAACCTAAACCCTAAATGGCGATGTCAGCTGGCAAGCCGTAAGCCATGAAAGGCGATGTTGGTAGCAACCCTAAAACAGGCGGGCAACCTTAAGCCCGGAAGAGGATATTTCCCAGGAAGCCCGAAACCATGGCTCACTATTATCATTATCATTGTTGTTATTATCGCTAGTACTATTATTACTTCTAGTATTATTCTTATTTGCCAACAAGTTAATCCTAAACCCTAAGCCCTGTACATTCCCATAAGCACCCACTTTCCATGTCATTGCCCAAGCGCGTTTCCATTTGATTCTCTGTTCCTACACCCTCGACCCTAGCCCCCAGAACCCCTGCGTACGGGTATTTGCCCCCCGCAAGTTGCTTTATTACTTTTATTCTTATTCTTGGTATGACTATTCTTGTTGTTGTATTGTTGTTTATTCTGATTATTATGATTATTGTTATTATTATGCTATACTATTACTATTATGATTATTATTACTATTAATCATTGACCTGCCTTCCTGCCATTGGCCTGCTTTTAGAAGATTATCATGGATAGGGCACGGCACTGGGTTGGGGGGTTCGCTCCGTACTTTCGGAGACCTTTAAAGGACATTAAATGACCATGGGGCTGCACCCTCCCAGTTTTTTGCCGTGCAACTTTGCATGATCCTTTCCAGACCTGGTCTATGAGCCTTGTGTTTGCAAATGGGAGGCTATTAATAGCATGATTCTTCTCATTATTATAGTCACAGTCCATAGCATTGTTACTGTTATCATTATTCAGATTTCTCTTATCTTCCTGTTACCACTCAGCAGGGGAAATCGAGCACTCGCGCGGAGCATCCTCACATTTCTCGAAAGTGTGATCTCGCTTCACGTTTTTGCTGGAAATGGAGCTCTCGCGTGGCGTATCCTTGCATTCTGCCTCGAAATTGAGCTCTTGATGGCTCTCGCGTGGTGCATCCTCGTGCTGTTGCTCAACATCAAGCTCTGGCGTGGAGCGCCTTCACCCAAGGAATGCACGGAAAAAGGGGAGGACAAAAAGGAAGCAACGGAAACTTCAACCTGTAGAAAGTGGCATGCGCTTTTATGTGGCGTTCACAAGGTACCGTGCTTCCCTGCTGGCGCGTTTTGACAGCTTTCAGCAGGCCGGGAGCAGTTACAGGACAGTCACTGAGAGCCGTCGATGCAAGGATCCATCTTTCTGTTCTTAATGCCAGATCCTCGACCTTTACTTGGTCCGGCGACCGGATGGGCGCCAAACTCTGGATCAGTTTCTGGGCCAACGAAATTCATTTGTCGCATTCTTCTCGAGTATTGCTTCCTCAGAGATCGACATTTGATATTTTTCCATGCTTAGTGTGGATAATTGTAGCGCTGAGGCTTTTCTTTGATGACCTCAAGATTGAGAAGGCCTAAAGCTCATTCCCCTTGCTAGGTCCACTGCTGACTTGGGTTTGCAAGTCAGAAGGTCGGCCACCGGCGGCTTTTCGACAAGTGGTTTAAACATCGAAGCTTGGGCAGCATCTGATGATCACGGCCAGTAGCTTACATTTGCATAAGGAGCAGCAGAGGGGCTGCGTGAAGAGAGCCTCACAGGGGAGTATATACTTCCAGCGTGTTTGGATGCTGAGCCGGATGGGTTGCAAGAAGGGAGCTCACCAATGAGCAAAGAGCAATCCGCGAGTGAAAGGAACAACATTTTGTGTGGGAAAGACAAGCAGCAGTGGCAATGCTTTTTCAGGATTTGCCTCGGAATGGGCGCCGACGTGACAGTGATTCGAAGTTAGACTCTCCAGCCGTACGGCTCAGCCATTCTGGGAAAGCCCAGAGAAGCTTGTGAAAGACCTCTCCAGGCCCTTCATGGCTGGTACTATTTAACGTGCTGAGCAGGCCGTTTTCTTTCGTAAGAGATGCCTCCCTGGTTGAGAAGAGCCTTGTAGGATTTTAGGGTATAGGATTGCTACGAGTGCTTTAGGGTCCTTTCGGGAAGACGCGTGTGTCATCTCTTGTGCCAGTTTCCGCTGGGCTGGCAGCACAGCGACAGCAGGTTGTGAACTCATTGAGCAAGGGTCTGAACTCCTTACAGGGTCATATATAGGGGGTTTTATAGCGGACCTTTAAAAGGTTAGTCAGGGGGAGGGGGATGCCAGGAGTTTAGACAGCTCTTATGGGGTCTGAGTTGGCAAGGTGGCTGGGGATGGCACTTGAACTGATTAACTTTAGGGTTTAGGCTTTAGGTTTTTTTTTCATAAGGAGCTTTAGGTTGTCAAGGCCCCAAATTATTTGGGCCAGCTTGCCAAGGTCCCATGTTTGAGTTTGGGATTTATGAAGCGCCTTCAGGCGTTGCTCTTTGTGAACATTTACTTGCCCTACACTCAGCCAGTATCACTGATGTGGTTGAAGGCGCCAGGATATGCTCTGTCAGACGGAGCCGCCGCGTATGAGCGGCAGCATGATTTTTTGTTAACTTTATAGGTTGCATGTCGGCCTGGATTCATTTGTTTTCTTTTTTCTGTGATGCTAGCAGCGCAGAATGTCAAAGGATCGCTGTTGAACCTGTACTATGCAGCATGTAGGACGAGTGCCGTTGAACGCGGCTATGCAGGTCGCCATGCATCGCTGGATCGCTCTCGAACCTTGCCGGACTGCCAGGGTGTGCGTCGCCAAACTCGTGGACCATTGAGCAATGTGCTCCGGGGATCCCACGGGTTAGAAGCGTGCCATCAAAGCAATCATGCAAGTGCCAGGGCTTGTGTGGCACCGTCACAGCGGAAAGTTGTGCAACTTTTGTAGCGGTCGCTTCCGCGCGCATCCACTGTGGCCGCGTTCTGTTTCACATATTTGAGACAGATCGCAAGGCCAGCCTGGCCTGCCACGTCATGGCGGCCAGCAAGCAGTGAACCGTTGTGATGACCTTCCTTTGCAGCTATTGAACCGGATTACGGTTTCGCGTTCCCTGCGCAGTGTCCATCAGGTTTACTTTTTGTGGCAGGCATCCGGTCCAGGCTTTAGTGCAACGCTAGGAACGCGGCGTACGTGTCACCAGAAAGAGGTACAAAGGTCACAAAGGTCAAGGCTACCTGGAAATCTTGGTGGTGGCCAGACAGAACCGTGAGTCGAGCTGACAAGAAGATCCGTCTTGCATTGCAAAATCTCGGGCTAGTGCGCTGCAATGAAGGAGCTAGGTTATGGCAATTTATTCCTATTATTAGTAGCATGTTTATCATTACTATTACTACTGTTACATTTCTTCTTAGTATTTTTACTGCTATTATTTGAGTTATTATTGCTATTAGCGCAGACTTTTTCATGACTGGCCCTCAGCAGGTCTTTGCAGAGCTCAAGCAATCCTAAGTCTGGAAGCACATGCACTACGAACTACGAGCTTGTAGCTTCCAGGCAAATGCAGGATTAAATCCACTTCGTGGGAGGAATCTCATAATTCTAACAACCAGGCTCAAGTATCTTTCCGTATGCGCTTGACATAGAAACCCTCGCCTTCAGCGCAGATGGCTGCCGCTTCTACGGGGGGGGGCCTGTTCCGCACAGATGGCGGGGTCAAGGCATCCTCAGGACTTGACATCGACGCAGAAGTTCACGAAGCTTGGTCAAGAGTTCGCAGTGGCGACGCCACATGGATCCTTCTGGAATACGAAGGGAAGAACAAGCTGAAGTTGAGGGCTTCAGGCACTAGTGGCCCTGAGCTTGTCTCGGGCTTGGTTGATGACCAAGTCTTATTCGGCGGTCTTCGCACCAAGGCCGGTAAATTCCTGTGCCTCATGTGCACAGGTGCAGATGTAGGTGGCATGGCTAAGGGTCGCGCAGCTGCACACAAGAACGCGGCTTTCAATGCACTGGAGGGCACAGTCGGTGAGGTGTGCGCTCTGTCAAAGGACGAGTTCGTTCAACTGCTAGAAACAGTAGACTTCTGAGGCTGACATTCCGGGCGTTGTATCGTTCACAGCGCCTGCCAGGAGGAATCTCGTCTCACTTTCTGTGCCTCCTTATACATTGTACTTGTACAGCCTGCCAGAGCAGCATGCGTGAAACTCCGCGCACCACCAGCTCGCCAGCTAGTTGAAGAGTTTCTGCTGTGCTCTCTTGTCATTGTCCTGTCATGCCTGCACAATCAGTTTCCGTAACTGCTTTCGGTTGCTGACTCTTTCTTTGTGCTGCAATCCTCTGGCTGACATTCCGCCAGCTCACAGTCTTAGGATCGACAGGGAGCAAGATTGGAACTGGAAAGCACAGCCTACTCATAATTGCGAAGCCACTGCCTGGCAAGATTATGTTTTGTCAGCTCATTAGCACTGAGATTACGTTTTTGTTGAGCAGTTCAAAGAGAATCATAGGAAAGTGTTATATCAATCTTACTTACCGTCCTCATTTGTTTCGATGGACGACCGTCGGCGCGTGCTGCTTGTCGGTGATGCGGAGGGCAACTTGACAAAGCTCTACACACAGGCGAGAAAGACGCCTACTGTGCGTGACTTGATGCAGTGTTTTCATACCGCCTGCCACATTCTTGGGCAGAGGGAGCGTAAACAGCACATGCCAGGAAAGTTCTGAGGCTATACCTGGCAGGCTGTCATGATGTGCAACTTGCTTTGTAAACCGTGCAGTTTAGGCTCCAGCGATCAGGGCAGCGCACAGAGGGAGAAGAGCCCTAGCACGATTATCCAGTGCTCGGATTACCACTTGTAAGGCAACGGTCTGTTCTCCTTGTCTTGATACAGCAACCAACTCAGACCTGCATTTACTGCCCGCACCGAAGAAGCATCGATGCCCAAGATATCCTTTGCAGTGGCAGAGGATGAAGCGACTCTGCTCACGGTTATGACGCGCGGTCTTGCAACCGAGATCGAGGTGCCACATGGGAAGGACCTGGGCTATGCCAAGAACAGAGCGATCGACAAGCTTTGGCAAAACATTCCCTTCTGCCACGCTGTTGCAGCGCTGCCTGGCCAGGTCCATGTAGGGTTCACTGAGAAAACATTCTGAGTTTGAGTGCCCAAGGCTGTCAAACCTCCGTATGTTCGACGCGGATTCGGGCGAGGAACTGCAGGAAGGAGAGGCCGTGCAAGATGGCATGAAGTTGCTCCTGGCATTGGAAGAGCCCGGAGAAGGGCCTTCTGCTGCAGCCTCTGCCTTTGCATCAGTGGTCTCTGCAGTCGGCCGGCATAAGCTCGGCCTGGACGGGAGTGGAAATGCAGGGTCCCCTGGTTGCAAAACCGCAAAACCTTGGATCTAGCATCTACAGTATCTAGGGGGCCTTGAGTGTTTGTTTGTCTTCAAGAGCAAGGTCCAGCCGAGAAGAGCTGCAGAAGCTCTCGCTGAAGGAGCTCAAAAAGAGGCTTCAGGAAGCTGGGCTTTCGGCGGACGGCTGCCTGGAGAAGAGCGATCTCGTTGACCGGCTCTTGGACAACAAGAAAGCGTAGCTGCGCGGGAGTGATAAGAAAGGAGCGCACGGGATGCCAGCTTGCCTTGGACTTGGGATGTCTGGTGGATTCTGGATCCCTGCGTTTTCGTAAGTGCTTCGGGGCATCGAAGCTGTGCAGGTCGAAACCCAGCAGAAGAAAGTTGGCCAGTTCAGCGCTTTGTTTGCTGTGGGTGCGTCGCGCTCCCAGCATGGAAGCTCAAAGCGACGTGGAGTTGATGAAGCAGTTGAAGTCTTCCATTTCGACCAGGTTTTTGCCAAGCACTGGAGACAAGGAGGCGCCCATGCCCCGCGTTAAATGCGTTGATCTTTGTGGACCTTGCAACCGTGCACTGCGTGACAGGCAGCTGCTCAGCTGGCAGAGTTCGTTTCGGGTAACCGAAAGGCGGGGGACTTGTGTTTGGATCCCTTGTACACAGTGGCACCGCAGCAGCTACAGCGAGGTTCCGGTCGATACCTACTTCATCGACAGCAGAAGTGCTGCCTTTCTCCAGGCCTTCGAATGCTTAGGCTTGGAGCCTTAGAGATTTCTGTTCTGAGTCTCGTTTGGCAGGCTGCTCCAGATGGCAAGCAGCTGTGCGAGCGCAGCCCCGACACTTCTAAGTCGAAGCTTGCAAATGCTTGCAGATCCTTCCTCAAAGTTCTAGCCCAGGAACCTCAACTTCCTGGGTGGTTTCGGGGTCTGCGCCTTAGAATTCTGCTGTCCAAGTGTTGACATCATAGGGCAGTGAGGTTCGCGAAATCCACGGCCTGACAGTAGCGTTCCTGTCCGGGTGTGGCCCCAAGAACGGGTTAGGCAAGAATGGATTTCAAGGCCAAAGCTTGCAACTGATCTGAGCACCTTCCCCGCAACTGGCTCTAGAGCCAGGGGCCTCCCGGGTCAAGGCTAAAGGTCATTGCTCAATGTTCACAAGCGGCAACCCGGACTTGCATCAGGGCCAGTTTTAGGATCAAGTAGCTTCATGCTGTCCTTGCATGGCAAGCTCTTGCGCCCACTCTGCACGTCTCGGGCATCTCGGGCAACACAGAGCAACATCTCGGCAAGAACTTTTTCGGTGAACGGCTTTGCCCGGCACTCAGATTCTGCAAGTGGCCTCCTATGGTCGTCGTTTGTCTGCCAGGGGTTGGCGCACTCTCCGAGGCCTATCGGGGCTTTGCCTGGGTGAGTGTGACGGCGCTCGCCGGCCGTGCCTTGGCTTCCCTAAGCCGGTTTTAAAGTGTGAGTGCTGCCGCATTGCCGCATGCGGCTGCTGTATCTCAGAGTCTCAGAGCTGCAGGCTTGGGACTGGGACGCTTCACGCGACAACGGAAAGCTTTCGGGATCCGCAAGCTCCGCAAGCTCCGCCTACGTGCTTCTAGAGATGAAGATGAAGGCCTGCGTGTCATTCTCGAGAAGAAAAGAAGCACTACCGAGACTAAGCTTTCCCTTCTTCACTTGCAGGAGTTCTTCGGGAGCAGCTGAATTTGAACACTCCCTATGGAACTGTGGAGGTGGTGGTCTTGAAGCCTGCACTTTCAACCGGACAGCGAGTCCCGGCAGTCGTCGTCAATGTCGGTTGCTATTACACCCTTGCTGAGACATTGGAAAGAGCGGAAGGCCCTAGGTATGTTGCACTGGATTGTGCTTATGTCATTTGGCGGGCAACCGGGCCACTCGAGGAGGTGGCAGATCTGGTTTTCCAGAGGTGGCAAGGTGATGCCGCGGTTGTTTTGGATTGGCTCGGACAGCAAGATTGGTGCAATGGAAGGGTGGGTTGCCATGGCTACAGTCTTCTTGGGAACACTTCCTACGCTACGCTATCGGTTTCGCACGCAAAGGATGCTCCAAAGTCACGGCCCTTGGTTTGTGCCGTGCTTCCTGTCATTTCTTTCTCGCGAATTCAGCCGACGGTGTTTGTGAACGGGCAGAGCCTTGCAGCTGAGCTGGCTTTACGCTTCATTTGGCTAGCCGAGGTGGGCTTGCGACAGGATCGCAAAAACGGCTTCGGCTACTTTTGGAACATGTTCCGATTCTTCTCCTTGGCCGAGTGGCCAGGTCTGGATCAGGCTCTCGCAAAAAGACCAGTCAGCGAGGCTGATGTGGATCTCTGGGGCCGACCAAACGCTTTGTGGCGCGGGGGCCAAACTTATCGCAGTTCTGCAGATGCTTTTTGGGCAGAAGGCCGGGATGTACAATGTCACTTTGCGGACTTCCGGGAGTCTCCGAGCATCCACGTAATGGCTGGCTGGAATGACATGTTTCTGGCACAGAGCCTGCACGATTTTCAGCTTGCAAGCAAAGCTACGAGCGGCGCTGCAAAGCTCACAATTTTCACTGGGGGACACTTTGGTGTGGTATTTAATCATGGACTGCAAGTTGCACAGGAGACACGTGAGTGGTACTGCCAACATTTGACCAAAACAACTGCTGTTGCTCAGCATGCTGCCGTGCGGATGCAACTCATCCACGAGTCTGAAGACGAGGAATGGCTGGAATGCGATGCTTGGCCTCCGCCAGCCGACTCCATGTGTCTCTTCTTCGAGGGGAGCGATGCCAACTCCTGCACAGGCTCACTGCGCAAAGGTGGTCCGAGTTGCAGCAGTTCGCTGAGATATGTTTATGACCCGAAAGATCCAACACCTTACAGTGGTGATGGATGGCTGAACCTACAGAAGGATGGGCCACAGGACCAGAACTCTTTTGAGAACTCTCGGTCAAAGGACGTGCTTGTTCTGACTTCTGCCCCTCTGGAAGAGAATCTAGAGATTGTGGGTGAGGTCTCTGCATCTCTGCTGCTTGGATAAGCTTTGCCATCTCTTCCAAGGGCAGGCTAACTCTCATCCAGCGCAAGGGTATGCTGGGGTTGTGATGCCCATCAGTCCTTTTTGTCTCAGGTTTGTTAGCTGCACTGCTGCGGAGTGTGACATCGTTGTTCGGCTCTGTGCCGTCCGACAAGCATCAGATGGCTGGGGATCAGAGCCTGGGTTTCTCGACCGCATCCTCGACCCGCGGGGCTTGGGGCGTGGGCGCTCGGCAACTTGCCTGCGCTCTGGCAGTCAGCGCTCCGACGAGGCTGCCTCACCCCGGCACCTAAGGTGAACTTGTGCGAAAACATCGTGAGGGTGAAGTTTCAGGAGGAGAGAGGATGGGAAATCCTTTGCCTGGGCAATTCATATTCTCCGTCTCCCTGCAAGGATTCCGTCGCTCGGGTCGAGGTCTCGGTGGGACCGACTGCCTGCCGCTTCGAGCCAGGCGATCGGCTCCGCGTTCACGTTTGCTCGGCTGCCCATCCCCGGTGGCTCCGCCATCCGCTCTGTCGAGACTCAGAGGATTGGCTCCTGGGAGACTCCGAGGCTAGGTCCGTCTATCCGTCTATCCCTACATACATCTTACACGCATATATATATATAGATGTATACATGGTGCAGTGCTGGCAACCCCCCCCCTCCTCCCCCCAATGCTTTCACTTTGCAGCATCAAGACCTGCATGCCATGCTTGAGAGGTCAGGCAGGTCCTCCTTCTCCCCGCGGTTTGGTGGGTTTGCTTTCTTGCATGACTGTCAACCAATTCAGATCTTCCCGCATTACACCCCCTGTGGTGTAGAGGGCGTGCCTTTCCCAACACTGTCAGCTTTATCTTTTGCTGACAAAATTCACACCTCCTCCCTCCCCCGAGTGGGTGGCGGCCTTCCTTCAATGATTGTCACCATTCGTGTGAAGTCATTCAGATCTTTCCCCCTAGGGTTCGTGGGGGACATGCACCATCCTTGTGATGTCAGGCACTTGGGGGATCTGCAACATCAAAAACAATGACAATTTTCGGATGGTAACTAGGACACATACCATCTTTGTGAGCGTTGGCACATTTGAGATTTGCGACATTAAAAATGGTGACAGTTACGCTGACTGTGATTAGGATGCCCACCCTCTCTGTGACTGGTGGCACTTGAGATCTTTTGACATCTGCGACAACAAAATCGGTGACATTTACAAGGATTGTGACCAGGACACCCGCAATCCTTGTGACTGTTGACACTTTGAAGATCTTGGACATCAATAACGACGACAGTTACGAGAATGGCACCTCCGCAACCTCAAAAACGAGGACAGTGACGAGGATCACGACCTGGACACCCACCATCCCTATGACTGTTGACAGTTTTGAGAGTCCGGGGATACCATGGAAGTGGAGGTGGGAAGGCCTGTGGACGCTGCATACGACACCATGTATATATATATATAGATAGAGTCTGGTAATTATTGGCATTGTTCAGAGTGGTCCGTGAGGTCGGAGCACCGGCGCAAGTTACAGTGATGGCGGATGACAGCCACCCATCCCACTTGAAACTCCCGGTGCGCAGTGATGCAGTTCGTAGCTGCACGTCACTGCCAAAGTAACGCACCAGACAAAAGGAAGCGTGGGCATGTGCCGTTCTGCACAGGGACCAAGCTCGCTGAGCCCCTCTCTGCTGTCAAGGAGCTACGATGCAGCCACATATGCCAAGCCTGCTGCAGCCCCAAGACTGGAGACATGATGTCCACAGCGCAGAAATGGTCAGCACTGAAAAGGCCCAAGAAGACAGTCCGAACTTCATCGGAACGGCCACGAACCTGGTACATCCACACGATTCCACACGTCCAGGACAAGGAAGCAATCAAGAAATCAGTTTTTTTTACGATTGAGAGCCCAGGCCTACACGTCGGCAGCTGTTAAGCGTTTGATGAAGCTGGCTTCGGACTCAGGTTGCTTGTGCTTGGCGTGCTTAGTGACCCAGACAGAGCTGCTGCTGTTCACAGCCCACATTGGGTTTCTTGTTCCTAACGTGCCACTCGTACAATCCATAACGTTGCAAGCAACGAGATTGTATCAGTTGCGTTGAAGCTCTTTCGTGACCTTAAAGCTGGCCATCATCCAATAAGATATGGATCTTTGGGTCTGCACGGGACTCTCTGCACTTGTCGTGCGGATCGTGCGACCACAGGCTTGCATGCTTCGATGAGCATATCGCCTAACTTGACATTGGATTCTGGTGTTTCCATCCATGACACGAGGTTGCGAAGTCTGGTCGACTTGAGTCCTTTTTTCGGAGATATTGCTGTCAAGCCCTGCTGTCAAGGCAGTAGTAGGAAACGACTCCCTGTACACGATCAAAGCCGAGCACATTACTGTCACAAAGCACGACGCCTGCAACTGAAGGTTGAGGAGCGTTCATCCACAATCGACCTTCTGCTGACCGCTGACTGGCCCAGGGGTATGCAGGTGCCCGGGAGGATGGTCGGCTTTGGGTGAACTCTGCCACTGGTATAGGCGTTATGTAGGAATAATGGAAAAGAAAATGGAAACTGCTATATTATAGCAGGGTATATCCATCTTTACGCAAGAGCTGCATCTTACTAAAAACTAGTTTCTGCGCTTTGGCTTTGGTTGCTAGCGCCTCATGCGCTGTGCAAGGAAAGGCTTGACGAAGCAGAGCGCCCGAGAGATCCAGACGGCAATCGTCCCAGCTGGGGTTTGTGTGAGTGTCATGAGGACCACAAGAATTTCGGAGTGGACATGGTGTTCTCTCTTGATGACATGAATGTAATCCCTGCCAATTCATATCCAAACATGATGACGTCACTCTCATTGAGCAATATTGCGTGAAGCTCTTGCTGAGCGTGTCAAGATTCCCAGTCTTGCGACGTCAGCTCCTCTACCGGGTCAGCTGCTGGTGTCTGGACCAAAGTAACAGCAACAAGATGCCCGGCCAGACTTGAGTTTGAGCATAGCTAGCGGCGGAATCGGCAACAGACAAGCCCTCATGAACCGTCTGTTCCTCCGTCAGCATCACGCCATGCTGTGCTGCAATGCCCTGCTTGCTACAACGCCGCCTGGCTAGCAGCTGCGGTGCAAGCAGTCAGGCCAGGTAGCAAGCTCGTCGTATTCTGCCCGAGCTTGACCTGTTCCTTGAAGGAGTGCGTTGTGCAAATAGTTGCTGTTGGCCCCAGCTGGGCAGGCTGCTTCCGCGGCACAGGCTACAAAAGCACCCTCAAGGCACAGGGAGCACAGAGTTGCTGGTGTCAGGCCTTGCTTCGATCCGGTGCTACACTGCGATTTGTCGGGCCTGACGGCTGGGTCCAAGCTACCCCAGGACCCTCGCAGCAGATGCAGTAAAAGTTTGCATTTTCTGTCTCCTGCGTTGTTTTTCGCCTTGGAATTGAAAGTCACTGCGACCAGACACCCCTTTGCCTCACAGGTCGCCATCTCGGAAGCGGGACCTTCGCTTCGGTTTGGGAGTTGCAGCTCTTCCCTGCACAGCCGCGCCGACATGTTTCGAGGCTTCATGGTAACTTGGAGTTTCCAGGGGAGGAAGGATCCCGATTGCATATGACTGTGTCGGGAAGATGAAATCCCTCTTGCTCATAAAAATGTAAGCATAGTGCGAGATGGAAGGCGAAGTCATGTTCCCCTCTTTAAGGGATTGTCAGGGCCAGGCGGCATGTTTGCATGACACACTGGCTGAAGCTACTTGTACATTTCACTTGTTACCTGTGGCCAGGAGCTTTGGAGACCTGGCTGTGCTGAAACATTTTCCAAAAGTGGAAACGGCCATAGCCGCCTTTTTCGGCCAGTCACTTCTAGGCCGCCGCGTCCAAGCCGAAGCTCTCAAGATCGCCAGACCTCATTTTCACAGCCTCATGTACTGTTCGCTGACAGGACAGCACCGGAAGCAATGGGACAACGAGCGAGCTACTTGCAGACACCCACGTACAAACTGACCAAACCTGTGCTGCCAAAGCAGCAGGTACGGTAGCTATGCAAGTGCAAAGCTGAGGTTGCTGGTGCACGCTTGCGGGCCGGCCCACAACATGCGGGCCTCGCACACGTCGCTTCATTGCTTTCTTCTCGGCCACGCTTTGGGGAGAAGGAAGGTCGACACCTATGGAATGCTGTTTTCTTCCTATGAAGTGAGAGGACGTGGAGGCCAACTCTGAGCTCATGCTGGTGCTGCAGCATGCGGGCCAGCCCCTGGAATCTTCTTCCAGCTTGGAGACCCTGGATCCACCAGCGCGGTGTGAAATCATCAATCAGCTACTGAGTGCCGTGCCCCGACTGCTTTTTCAGAGAGAGACTGCAGTTGGCCGTGACGCTGTGATTAGGCAATATTAGGCTGGAGATTGCTACCTGAAGTTTCCTGCAAGTCTCAGGTGAAGCTCCTCCGCCTCAATGGAATTGTCCACTTGGACATTTCCGCTGGCAACTGCTGTTTGGATGACACCGGTTGCGCGCGCTTGGTGGCTGCCTGGTTCAACCTGATTTGACTTAGGAGGGGGGGGGGGCAGGGCGTGCCCAACGTGTTCTTCTTTTTCATCATAGTGCGCCGCGGTACTCTCAAGGATTTTGGCAACTCAGTGCTGCTGGATTCAAAGCAGCGCGCGGCTGCTTGTCAACCCTTGGAAAGAATTCGAACCTGAGTTGCATCTTATCACGATGCGACGTGTCTTGCTTGCTCTGTTCGCACAGAATAATTTGCGTCAACTGGGAAGCCCTGGTCACAGCACCGGCAACTCCCAGGTGCTCGATATGTGCATCACAAGCGATTTCCATGCTGCGAGCGCTACTCGCCGCGCAGCTGCAGAGTTTTGCTCCAAAGAATGTGGTTCTGGGATTGAGCTGCTCATTTCCTCACATGCTGGATCCAGGTATCCCCTGTCGATTCGGCGCCTAGTTGATGAGATTGAGCAACTTCAGCTGAAACTCAGCTTTTTGTGCAAGATTGGGATCAGGGAGAGTTGGTGTGACAGGCAGCCGAACGAGATCGACGTGTATGGCGGCAGCTATGATGCGGAGGCAAGCTGCAGCCGTGGCAGCTTATGTATCCTAAACCCTAAACCCATCTCTGTTTGTCTTTGTCGTGGAGGCTTTCCCTGGGAACCTGGCAGCAATGCCACCTGAGGTTCTGCGCGGACTCTTGGTCCCAGGAGCCAGTGATGTTTATGGCAAGGATCCCAGAAGTTAAGGACGAAGGGACAGGCGCCTCTTTGAAGCTGCTGAGGCCTTGGAATCTTGTTGTGGTGGTTGCTAACGGGTCAGGACTGCGCCGTTGCAACCTGCCTGTGCCTGACTTAATCTGACTTGACACATTGGCCCAGATAGTATGATTGCGTTACAGGGCGGCCAACTCGTTGCCACCCGCCCCGTGATGTACACAGTGTAGCTAGGCTGTATGACGCGGCCTGGAAGTAATTCACGCCTATCTGTTACACCCGCTGCCCTTGCCACAGACACGTTCGGGCTCAGCTCCCACTAGTCACCCGCCGCGCAGAACCGCCAGGAGACACCTTTTCACATTGACGTGGACGTCGACAGAGTCTCCTTTCCAGGCTCAGCATGGAACGCGGAGTATGCACCTATTACAGAAGGATTGTCACGCAGGTTGGGCTCAATTCTACCGCAGAACAGCTGACGCGCAACTCCAGGAGCAAGCTTGCATCAAAATAAGCCACGCTCGATACATGTCCCGTGGTGTTTCAAGGAGCTTCAAAGCTCTCTGGCCCTTGCAACTCCCACGATGACGGAGCCGTGGCAAAGCGAAGTTGCAAGGCACAGACATGGTCCTAAAACCGGAAAGCCTAAACCCTACTCCTAACCACTAAACCCTTAGTTGCACGACAAATTTGTTGGCTTTGAAGACTTGAAGGTGGCTCCGAAGTGCCTTGGCCGAGGCTCCTGAAGATAGGGCCTGGGCTGCGAGTTGCCCTCTCCCAACGCAGGGGATAAAAGAGGCGCTTCCATCAGAATATGTCACAAGTTCACGATGTACTGCTTGTGTATCCTTACTGCAGCTCAAAAGAAAGGCAATCATTGCCAGTTTCGCCGGTTTTGAACCATGACACAGTGTTTTTTGCCTTGTTCGCAGCCAGGAGCTTCCTGCTTACCAGTGAGCTCAGTCACAAGCCTTTCGGCCAGCCACTTCATGCATCGGCATTTCAACAACTACTGGATTCTTTTGAGAAAGCATTGTGTTTTCTGGTTTCGCATTGTTGCAGAGACAGAACACCAAGTGTTCAGGACAAGTATGCATTAGCAATGATGTGCAGACATGATGGAGCGCAAAGCAGATCACATCTACCAAGAGGCAGGCTTTACCTGATTTGGAATGTTAAAGGGACGTGCGGTCGTGCTCAGCAATTGGGTCGAGAGTACTGGCCTGTGTAAGGGAGCCGTGCACAGGATGGATCAAACTGAATTGCTGCATGGCAGGTGCTGACTCCTCAGCTGCAGAGGGAGGTTTGGTTTGGGCCTGCTGCAAGCAGCCAAGCCCTGGTCCAGCAGCTGCAGCTCCATCCAGAGAGTGCCCAAAGCAGCGAATGAGGGTTGAGGGTTAGGGAAAAAACCCTGGGTCAGTATGAGCAAG